TGACCATTTATCTTGTGACAAATCGAAAATGAAATTTAAAAAAGAGATGCGAACATAAAGAAATAACCTATCAAATATGATTTCGCTAAATCATTTTGGGCAAAAAACATCGTATACCCACCTATAGTATCTCTTTTCTCTATATGCCTCAGTTTGAAATTTTCATAGAAAATCCTTAATTAATTACTTCGTAACGGGCCTGCTGGGCGGGCCCCATATATTTTATGTCCAAGTTTGACGATATTGTTGGTATTGCCAGTTTGCCAGTCAATAAATAATATGACCAGAAAATTATTTTAGAGAGAACGAATTATGAAAACTTCAGTATTTGATACATAATGCAACAATAGGACAAAAACACTTGTCATTTTGAAGGCCTTTGCCAAGTATGTTGTCTTAAAGCTTGAAGGGTGATTAACATGAATGGCCCCCCGTAAAAGGCTAGTCTTAGTCGAATGTCTCAAAATTGGCGGCATTAGTAGTTCCTTGACCTACATTCACTTATTGTTTTTTATCGTATTGGTATTGTTTTATACGATATTTACTCTATCTATTTGTTAAATTGTTCATCAAAGTCAATCATGTTGGCATGGTTTTGCTCTTCAGGGATTTCTCTATCGGATTAATAGAGTTTGTGCTATATTTTCTCTATATATCTATTAAGCTGTTCATTGAAGTCTACCTGATTGGTATAGTTTTCCTGTGTTATATTAATAAAGCGGTCTTCGAATTTGCAACTTTAATTTCGACCAAACCATCCCAAATTTGCTCCAAATAATCTCAAATTGAAAATAAAGCTTCCAAATAGCAACATAAATAATTCTCAATCACCAATTTAGCCAACAACAACAACAACCCAGTGATAATCGCACTAGTGGGGTCTGGGGAGGGTAGAGCGTACACAGATCTTACCCCTACCCCGGACGGGTAGAGATGCTATTTCCGGAGAACCTCTGCTCAGAGACAAATAGCCTGAAATGAAACGAGTCAAATAATATTAAATAAAAAAGAATATTTTATCTTCTTCAACACTTTCCACAATACGACGATGGAGTTTTAAGCTTTTACAGTAAATTACTAAATCGGTATTTGAACTAAAATTTAAACATAAATTATCAACATTCAAACGATTTTAACAATAATGGATCATTAACCTTTTACTTTTCACTATCAAGCGAGAATTTCAAGTTTTATATATTGAAAAACTATTGCATTCAAGTAAAATATGGGACAATCACTAAGACCGTAAAGAACGGGGACATTCCGCTAAGACCAATAATATTTTGAATCTTGAAGGCCTCGTACAACATCAAGCCCAATCCAATCTTTACAGACAGTACAGCTTGGACTATTACCACAAGCCCATATCTTAAACCAATGTATGGGTCACTAGTCCAATCGGAAATCCAAACCCTTTTCAACTACAAAGAAAACAGGAAAATCAAAAAATAAAAGAATTTTAAACTAAAATTAGTCAATGAATATACATATATTCAGGGGGTAAAGCGCTCCCTGACAAAGGCGAATCCATATCCAGGGGCTCGAACTCGAGACCTCTGGTTAAGAATGAAGGAATACTTACCACTCCACCACAACCCTTGTTGGTGGTGTAAACAATATTAATACAATCACCAGGTTATTATAAGCTATTTACATGTAAACTTTATAATAAGTATTAACTGGTAACCTACTCAAATTGGTAATGAACATGCTTAAAGGCTAATTACATATAAATTCTCACTTTTAAGAGATTGACAGCCATACCCTATCTAGGTAGGTGAACTGATTAATCCACCTAAATGCTCATATAGATATTATAAAATAATGGGACCAAAGTTAACATCCATAAATATTGGAAAGTGCAAATATTCTTTCACCCTTTTTTCAACCCTTTATCCATTTTAAAACTGCAGAGGACTTAATAGTAAATGAACAATTGCATCAAGAAAAAAAATATTTAAATAGAGATCACGACACTTTTTTTAGCACAAATTTTGGAAAAAAATCCATGTTTAATGATACGTGCAAAGTTTAGTAAGAATATAAAGAGCTAAGTCTTCCTGCCGGCTGAATATAATGCCATATTGTGATTATCTTTCTTTAATTGAACCAACAAAAGACAAGTAAAGGAATTCTATTTTCTTTGTTTAATTGTTTTAATTTCTTTTTGAAGCAGGGTCGGTTCATTAATATTACATGCACTTAAATGATACTACAAGATAAAGTTTTGACCAATAAATTACACCGGCAATCCAACATTTCTATCTACTTAATATTAATGAAAGATAACTTTTGTTATTTTAGTACATCTTTTTGCAGGACTTGCACATATCGCTAGTTAATTTACAACTATTCACAGTTACACAACAATATATTGAAGGAAGATTATGATACTGAGTTCCCAAAGTTTAAGGATCCGCGATATAGGACGAAATCTTGACCATCAAGGGTTGTGATATGATAGATAAGATTCTTTCAATTTAATCGGAGGTCTCAGTTCGAGTCTCGAGAATAAAAAAAAAATCCCTTTAATGGCCTTACACGACATGATCCGAGTTAGTCGAGGCCTCACAACGAGTATCTGACATCAGAAGAAAACCAAAGAAAAGTGTTCCTAATTTTCCCTTGTATATTAAATGCCTATTAAAAATACGGAATGTTCTCTTTTGGATTCTCACTAGGAAATTAACATCTCGAGTTTGGAAAATCCAAGGTTATTATTCATACTTCTTTCTGGCAAAGCTTAATGTTGTAAGATGAGAATTACAAGGAGCCAATTTTTCTATGGTAGGAAAAGCCGCCCAATGACTAATATTGTATTGATGAATGAAAATAATTAAGTGTAGTAAATTTAAAAATATATGTAGAAAAGGGAAGGAAAACCAATGACCACTAGAGTTAAGATAGAGTAATATTGCATTATGTGTAAACACTTTCGTCATTCCAATAATATAGCTTTCAGTTGCACGTTGAAAGCGATGTTGGAGAAGACTTAGACCTATAACGTCTATTACCCTTCAAAACTAATCATTTTCAGTAGCATTCTTATACTTAATGGTCTTGCTTTAAGGAAGAAGGGAAGGATTATAAGAATAAAAAGAATGGAAGGAAATAAAAATTATTTTTTCTTGTTGAAATTTGTATACTAATTGTGTTTTCTTAAGTGTCACCTAATGATATATATCGTCCAATATATAAAATATCCCTTGCATTATATTCTCAACCTTTGGACTATAAAATATATTAACTATATAAAGTATATTATCTATTACATTTTCAGTATTTTTTTGTTGGTAAATAATACACTTCTATATATTATTTTGACAAAGCTCAATGTTATGCTGATATATTCAACAAATATATAGATTAATAGGTAGATTTTTTTATAGAATAATTAGTCATTGCTATTACACTTTTTTATCTATGAGTCCAAGTAAGACCCGGTAAAGGTCAATGGAAACCACAACGTACAATAAGTTCAAACAGGAATTTAAGGAGAGAATATATGTATATGCTTATGCACTAATTTGAACGTTTTAATTAATTTTATTACATCTCTTAAATTTGTAGACCTTGTGGATATTTGTAATGCAATTTCTTTTCTTTTGCTCCCCTTGATTTTGTGTATAGGGTCAAATTTGACCGTCAGCGTCTCTACGCCAATGGGTACGCCCAGTGAGTATACGCCAACTAACGTAAGGGTACAACTCGGACGTGGGGACAAAAGCGACATCGTTTAGGACTCAGTATCTTCACTAGGAAAACGTTACCTATTTTTGTGATTTTTTTTTATTATTTCGAGGAAGGTCTCTTATTATATAAGGGAGACATTCACATTGTAAAGGGGGGGACTCTGGAATAATACAACTCTCTCATTTTCTCATACTCTCTATTGCTATCTCTAACGAATACTTCCTCTTGAGTTCATATTATCACTATTATATCTACAACAACAACTTCATTTTTCATCTCTAGGTCTATTATATTTGATTACGATTTACCTTTTCTTACTTTTGATTGTTTTTAAGCTTGCAAAGTATATCGATAACTTTTGAGCCAAACATTTTCTCATTTTAGATGAGGAGCAGCTTAGAGCAGGTAATTAAATCATATAGTTGCTGTCCTAATTCTGCTTTACAATTTCTAATTATCTTGCTTGTTAGACAAGTCAGAAATCAAAGTGTTAATTAAGAGAATGACATCTCTAAGATTATGTCAAAATCATCTAGCTAATTTGGTCAACAAATGAATGGAAATCTTCAACTAATACTTAGAATATTCATTCAAACTAGTATTATATAGGTTAGAATTTTGTACTATATTTATGTTGTAGGTGGCTGGCTTCGTTCGTTAATCCAACTTCATTTGGAACTTGTATAGTTGAGGAAGCAAAGAAACTACTAACAAAAAGAAAAAAGAAAACTCTCGTATTCCTTCGAGATTATTATGAATTACTTCTCAAATCCTATTTCTCAATACACAACTCGTGTGTCTTTTATATTCTAGTACTCTTTTTATAAGCATCTCAAAATTGTTATAATTAACTGCTATACAATTAAAAATCATCTAAAAGTTAGATATAATTGTCTGTAATAAATAGCATCGTGTATATAAATAAAATTTATTTCCATTATCATCTAATCAGTGACGGAAACATGATTTTTCACTATGGAGATTCAAAAAATAAAAGAACTCAACACGCGAGGAAACTAAGGAATTTCAACATCTAAATATACATAAAAAAAAATTAAACCTTATATACATGGTGTAATTTTTGGCGAAGGGGTACGACTGAACCATTTCCGCGCACCTAGCTCCGCCTTTACATCTAATAGATATGAATTTCCTTTCCGATCTATGTATTTAATTTGTTTTTGTTTTCTAAAAGAAACATACTTAAAATAATAGGATTACCAAATACAGTGGTTCAACCACCAGTTGCATTCATGAAAAGTCAGAATCTCAATAGAAAAGGCGAACACGAAAGAATCTTCGTACCTTTCTTTCAAACTATTTTCTTGTACATTGATCTTATCTCTATTAACCAACAAAACTTCTTCCTTTTGTTGTTCTCATATAACACTACAACAAATACTACTATAAAAACATACAACCCATTAAACAATTATAATAGTACTAATATTTTTCATGTTATATATATAAATGATTAAACATATCCTTATTTCTAATAAATCTCTCTCAATCTCTTTGTAAATCCAACAGAAAAAACTAACTCCATGTCTCCGTTTCCAAGTTATTATTACACTTTTGCTCCATTCATTCTCCTCCTTTCCCTTCCTTCTTTTCCCGCCAGAATCCTAAAACACGATCCTTTAACTGAATTAACCGCCGATATTCAAAACAACACGTGGCACGCTTTCGTTAAATTCCTCGACGCCGGAAAAGGAAGTGAACTCACCGGCATGTCGGAACTGAAAAAATACTTCCAACGGTTTGGCTATTTATCTAATATTCCCGATCAAAATTTCACCGATTTTTTCGACGAAGATTTAGAGTCTGCAGTACTCAATTACCAAAAAAACCTCGGATTAACAGTCACCGGAAAATTAGACGACGAAACGATGAACGAAATTATGTTACCTCGTTGTGGGATGAGTGATTCAGCTCATGAACATGATCACAGCTCGTTACATACAACGAGAAATTACGCGTATTTTTACGGGAGACCTAGGTGGATGAAATCATCGCCGATGATTTTATCGTACGCTTTCTCTGAAAATTACATGATTGATTATATAGACATATCGGAGATTAAATCGGCTTTTAAAAGTGCGTTTTCGCGGTGGTCGTCAGCGATTCCGGTGAATTTCACGGAGGCGGAGGATTACTACACGGCGGATATTAAAATCGGGTTTTTTAGAGGCGATCACGGCGACGGAGAGCCGTTTGACGGAGTGTTGGGAGTGTTAGCTCACGCTTTTTCGCCGGAAAATGGGAGGTTTCATTTAGACGCAGCGGAAACGTGGGCCGTTGATTTTGATGAAGAGAGGTCGAGAGTTGCCGTTGATTTGGAATCAGTGGCGACCCATGAGATTGGGCATGTACTTGGGCTGGCTCATTCTTCGGTTAAAGATGCTGTTATGTACCCAAGTTTAAGCCCAAGAACGAAGAAGAGGGAATTAAAGCTTGATGACGTGGAAGGGGTCCAAGCTTTATATGGGTCAAACCCGAATTTCAAATACACGTCATCGTTGGAACATGACACGTCCTCATCAAATTGGAGAACGTCATCAAAGTGGACCACCTTTTTTAGCTTGGTGGCTTTGATCTTTTCCTTGTGTTTATGATTGCTTATGTTTTTTAGTTTTTTTTTTTTTTTTGATGTTGTAAAGATATTTTACACAGAAAAAGAAGTAAAGAACATTCTTTAAAGATGAAGTAGAGGTCATATTCTTTGTGAATTATTCTTTTTGACTTGTGTTGAAATAGAGAAGGAAGATAAAAGAGTCAAAGAAGAATTAAAAGATGGGTTACTTGGAGTCCTTAGTGGGAAGTTTTGGTTTTCTTTTTTCAACTTTACTTTCTTTTGGAAACTTTGAAATCTAATGGAAGTTTTCTGTATTTAGTGGAGAATTAGAGGGGAACATGACAGTTTTTAATGGTAATTTCAAGATTAGGTTAGTTGGAAAGAAGGAACAAAATCTAATTTCAAAATAAAAGGATATGAACTTCCAATATTAATGGAGTACTAGTTGCTTCCTTGTTTAGGGAGATAAGATGGTTTCTATTTTATAACAAAAAACAATGGTAGGAGATGTATTATTAATGAATTTACTATATTGAAATTGACAAATTATAATATAGATCCATACTACTTTCATATTCCATTTTATGTCACACTATTACTATTGAAAGAGACAATAGTTTTCAAACGTTTAACAAAAATTTATTTGTACAAATTTGTGATCTATGGTGTTTCTTGTGTAATTTCTAGAAATGTGATTCTTATTAAAAAAAATATATTATAGTGTGATATATGGTGTTTTTTATGTAGTTCTAGGAATTTTTACTTTTTATTTTAAAAAAATTAAGGCATCAAATCTTTCTCCTGTTCAAATTGTGTAATCATCAATTACTGACATTGGTAAGCGACCCAAAGTGATTTGATTATAATTCAATTCGTGACGATCATAAGTGGAAAGTTCATATTCTTCAGTCATTGATAAACAATTTGTTGGACAATACTCAATGCAATTACCACGAAATATACAGATTCCAAAATCAATACTGTAAATAAGCAATGGTTTCTTTCGAATATCAGTTTCCAACTTCCAATAAACAACGGGTAAATCTATAGGACATATGCGCACACATACTTCATAAGCAATGGATTTATCAAGTTCAAAGTGGATTCGGCCTCGAAAACGTTCTGATGCGATCAATTTTTCTTAGGGGTATTGAATAGTTACAGGTAAACGATTTGCGTGGGACAGGGTAATCATGAAACCTTGGCCGATATATCTTTAAATTTACCAACAAACAGATAATTTGACTCTCATATTTGAAAATGTCGATTAATTTGATTTTGTCGTTCCTTGATTAATACCAAACCAAATCAAATATATTCGACTTTTTAATCGGTTTGGTTTGATTTTCGGTTTAATTCGATTATTCCATTTGGTTTGAACACCCCTAAACTGTTACATCCATTTCACTTTGTTTGTTGTAGTTTGCCACAAAGTTAATAAAAAAAAAATTAAAAACTTTTGAAACTTGTGATATTAAGGTAGCGTTAGGACATAGATTTGATTGAAACTTGAAAAAAGAGTTTTTGAAGTTCTGTTGAAAAATAATTTTTGAAAGTTGGAGTTGTGTTTGGTCATGCATTTTATTTGAAGAAAGTTAAAGTCTTGTGGTGGAAGAAATATTTTCACCCAAAAAAATGTCCTAAACAAGTTTTTGGGAACTTAAAAATTTTTGAAGTTTTTTCCCCCAAAATATGATCATATTTCATAAACAAACAATAATTTTAAATTTCCTTGAAGCCCAAATTTATGTTGAAATAGGAGCTAAATATTTCAAAATATTTGTGTGGGCATGTGGCTATAAAACTTTTGAATCACCTTTCATGACTTATGATAACTAAAGATTCGCCCTGGAACTTCAACATATTGGCACCTAATTAGGAATTCGAATTATCCTTGTATTTAGTGCATGTAAAGCTCTTTATATATAATTGACTCCAAGGCGGTTTCGCTTAATAATATACCATAAAAATTTACAATACAATTAGAGAAAGGAAAAACGCTACTAGAAAATCACAAGTAAACTCAAATAATGTAAAATTTATGGATGTGCAACGACTAATATAGCTAATAAATAAAAGGGAAAAATAATAGAAAAGGCGCACTCCAGTGACCATTGAATATTACTGTATTGGTTTAAATTTGGTGACCTGGTAACGGTAGATAAACAAGATCGAGAACGAGGTCGACCACGGCGCAATAGTAGGAGGCCGGCCTCAGGAAGGTTATTGTCAGGGACGAGTAGCTGGAATAAAGAGATAACGGAAAGATAGATTAGGAATAGGCATAAGGAATATTCCTTTGGATATTTCTTATTTTGTACTTTTTAGGGTTTCTTGGAAATACCCCTTATAAATAGGAAGAGAGAAAGAACAAAGAGGGTCTTCAGTTTATCTGATAAGAAGACATTGTAAAAGGTTGACTTGAGAGAATATACAAAAGTTGTCTTGTTCGTTGATTATCTTATCCAAGTGCACGCTATTTAATCTTTGTTCACAAGATCCAAAGATTCCCTAACCATCTTCACTCCTCATCTTTCCACGTTGCTGTCGGGAGAAATAATCATCCAAATCATATAATAATTGGGTGGTAGATTCTTTCTTATTACATTTATTGCCATTATCCACATTTATTGCGTGCTCATGTTATCATATTCATTGAATACAAACGTGTTATTTAACGCTACCAAACGTCGTTCATCTTGCCGATTTCCTACAATATTTGATCTAGAATTTATTATTTTTAACTAAGATTCATCCTTCATTTCATCATTAATTAGTTTAACAAAAAGGCTCAACACTTTTTGGTCAAACAATTTGGCGCTGTCTGTGGGGAGTTTTTTAGTTAAAATTTTTATTTTTTTCTAGATCATAAAGGACAGCCGCCTTTTTCTCGTCTGCACAAACTAACAATGGCAGGGAAAAGAGATGAAAGACAGAAATCAATAATGGGTATCACTACCAACATCTTAAACACCATCAACGAGGATGACAGAGGAGACGAGGAGAATGAGACGCCGAGTGCCACACCCAGGCAGCGTGTCACCTCTCCCTCATGGGAGTGTAACCGTTTCACGCGAAAGGGGAGCTTCCACGTCCACAGCTGAGAAAGCACCACCCGTAGTGAAGAAATTACTGGAAGAGTGGCTGACCAGCACTCTAAATAACATAATCGACAAACCCGCTCAGCGGGCAAATAGAGACGTCATACAGACGGATACCACAGCGATCGCTGATGAGCCACCCGCTCCTCCAACAGGTAACACTCACATCCTTGTTGACGTAGGTAATGATGCACTTGCAACCATTCTAAAGAAAATGGAAGAAATGGAAAACGAGAACAAGGAGCTCCCCGACCAGATGAGGGAACATCAAAAAAGGGTCGATAAAATACCGGGCGCCCCAAAACTGCCACCAAAGCGGAACGTCGGCCGATTCGTCGAACAACCATACAATGAGGAGGCAGCCCCACATGCCATACCCAAAACCTTCAAGATGCCACCATACTTGAAGATATATGACGGCACGACGGATCTCGAAGATCACATCATTCACTACGTCATGGCATTACCATCACGATCTATAACAACGTTTGATGAAATGGCCGACAAGTTCGTCACCGCCCACGCCGGGGCTAAGAAAGCGGAAACAGGGTAAATGATAAATTCGTCGTTAGGAAATCGCCTGGCGAGGGACTTAGGGACTTTTTAGCCCGATTTAATAGAGTAAGAATGAGCTTACCAAATGTATGGCAGCTTTCCAGAATGGGTTGAACAGGAATGGGTCAAGAGCGACAAGAAAACTATTAAGCAGACTCATGAAATACCCTCCCACCACTTGGGAAGAAATTCACAAGGCCTACTGCGCCGAGGTGAAAGCAGACGAAGACGACCTTAACGGTCCGATACAACGGTTAACATCGGTCCAAACAGAGCCGATGAAAGACCGTCGTAGTGGTGGTCCAAGAGATCAGTCAGGACCCCGCCTCAACCGAGACAGGCACCAACCTTATGTCAGAACAGTCATCCCACCATCTCCTCGCCACGCGGAAGGACCGTCCAAGCCGCATACAGGGACTCAACGGAAGGAAATAGGTATGCCTCTGCTCACAATTTGTGTTTTTCCCCTTCAGAGATAGTGTACGCACTGGAGAAGCTCGGCCCGAAGGTAAAGTGGCCGCAGAAGATGAAATCCCACCCAAGTACACGAAAGTCGAACATCCTTTATGAATTTCATCAGGAACGAGGTCACAAAACTGAGGACTGCATAGCCCTACGGCAAGAGGTAGTGAACATGCTCCACCAAGGGCACCTAAATGAGCTGATGAGCGACCGAGGAAGAGCCAATTTCGACCGCGGAAGAGAACAACACCAAGGCCCACCAAAGCCGCCCTCCCCTGCCCGCACCATTCAAATGATCATTGGTGAAGCATCAATCAACCACGTAAATTTTACCACCACATATAAACTGAAATGGTCAATCACCCACGAACGGTATGATGACCTCAGAGAAAGTATCATATTTGATAAGTCAAATACTAACAATTTGACTTTTCCTCACTCCGATGCTCTTGTCATTACTTTACTTATTTCAGATACTGATGTAAAAAGAATAATGGTAGACGACAGAAGTGGCGCGTGTATTATTTACCCTCGAGTTCTTGCGCTAATGCAACTCGAGGACAAGATAGTACCATGCTGCATAACACTAACAGGGTTTAACAATGCAGTCGAGCGAACCTCAGGAGAAATAGCGCTACCCGTTCTGGCCGGGGGCGTCATCTTAGAAACAACGTTCCATGTCATGAACCAGGACACGGCTTACAATGAAATCATAGGACGACCATGGATACACGCCATGAGGGCCATCCGTCCAGCTTGTATCAAGTAATCAAATTCCCTACTCCGTGGGGGATATTCAGCATTCGAGGCGAACAACGCACAACCCAAGAATGCTACCGCATCGCCCAAGATTGTACATTCACTCAACAAGCTAAAAGGAACAAACTCAGAAGCATAGCAATTATCAAAGTCGAGATCCGAACCCAACGATCAGAAAGACATTATCAAGGACCCCGACGTCGTGGAAGCCGCGGGATCAACAATAGAAGATCTTGATCCTGTCCAATTAGACA